GTAAGTACGGTTCGAACCCTCTTCCAGGTCCAGCCCTCTTGCAGGCATACCCTCTTCCGGGCCCCTCTTCCGGGTTTTATATTGTTTCTATTATACTGAGCAAGACCGGTGTAGTAACCAGCGTGCCAGGTCCGGGCCTGTGTCTCAGTTGGCTTATCCGAGTGGATCCGATCCACCCGGGAAGCCCTCCTAGGATAGGTTCGACCTATCAATTCTGCTGCTACCATGTAGAGTATTGAATGTCATCGGTTTGATTGATAATGAAGTAGGCCTTGCCTAGTATTACAATCATTTGTAGAATTTGCGAAGATGGTGGGAGTTCCAGGTTCTTTCTACCGGGTGTCCCTCTAGATTTTCTAACCGGTAGGTTCCCGGGCGGACAATAGCTCTCACCCGGTACGGGCCTTCCTAGTTTTTGGCCAGCTTTCCTCCGTCTCCCGGTCTACTAGCCTCCCTCCTTCGCAAGACTTCATCACCGACTTGGAAATAACGCGGCCCAACCTTGTTGTCGTGGTATTTCTTCACAACTTGTTGGTATGTGCTCATTTTAACTTCCGCGGCCATTCTTCGCTCTTCGACCAAGTTGAGTTCGGCCAAGTGATCTTCCTCATTCTGCTGGGGTTGGTAATTTGATTCCCGAAACGTTGGGAACTCGGCTTCGATGGGCAGCCTTGCTTCACACCCATAGGTTAGGGAGAATGGGGTTTCCCCATGAGCCCTCCTGGGTGTTACTCGGAATGCCCATATGATGTGCGGAAGCTCTTCTAGCCATTTGTTTCCTGCTTCTCCCAGCCGTTTCTTTAGACCATCCACAATTGTTCGGTTGGCATTTTCCACTTGGCCATTTCCTTGGGGGTAGGCCTGTTAGAATAAGTGCCCTTCACTAGAGGGGGGGTGAATAGTGAGGCACGAGAATGTTTATAAATTTTTGCGGAATAAAAATCGCAGGGATAAAGTAAAGAACGTAAAAAGTAAAGAGCGTAAAAAAGCGTAAGAGAGCACACCAAAATTTATACTGGTTCACCACAACGTGTGGCTAGTCCAGTCTCCCGAGAGACTCTCTCGAGCTACACTACTTCCGTTAAGCTTACGGGTGCTTAACAAACCGTTACAACCTGAGAACTCGAGTCCCACGAGCCTCAATACACTTGCTCGGAGATACCGCACTCCAAGACTTCAACTCGAAGGAATATGCTCTTCCTTCGTACAACCAAGGGAACAAACCTCCCTTAAAGTGTTCACAACACTTAACCACACAAGAACAAAAACTCTCTTAAAGAGTAGAATATGAGTAAACTAATTTAGAACAAGAACACACTCAATTCCTCAAGAAATGGCTCTAAAAAGCTATGTAAAAAGTTTATGGAATGATGCAATGTAAAGCTATGAAATGTGTGAGGAATAGTTGTGAAAAGTAGACCCAAGAGACCCCTTTTTTATACCTAAAAACAAGGTGCAACGGTTGGGAAAAGATTGGGGTTGATTAGCTTGATTTGTGGAAATCAAATAAAAGTGGATCTGCTGAAATATAGCCTAACAGCGCTGTTCATAAAGTGAACATCGCTGTTTTGGCTTTGACTTTCCTTTAAAAATGGCTAACGGTCACCAAAACATCGATGTCTAGAAGTCTACATCGATGTTGGGGTGTTTGACTTTCAAAAATGGAAAGATTTTGTCTTAAATAGCCCAACGGTCATTTGCGAACATCGCTGTTCAACCATGAACATCGCTGTTCAAAAACTTACTGCCTAGGGCTTCTGAAGGCCGACATCGCTGTTGGGATTTCCGACATGCATGTTGGGATGGTTTGCCAGAACCATGGTTTGGCAGCCAACGCCGAAAACCGATGTCAAAAACCAAAGTTCTCCAAAATGAAACCCAAGTGTTGGAAACTCTTATATAATGTATTTTAGGTAGAAACAAAGTATAAAAACTTAAAAACCACTTCATTAAGGTAAAAACCACGGCTAGCCAAGTTTATGCCGTTTCACATGGTTTTCACCAAAAGACCAAAAACTAAAGGTGTTTTTTAACATGTTTTTGTTGGAGATCCATTTGGATATGTCCAGAAGTAAAAACCAATCATAAAAACTTAAAAACCACTTGATTGATTTGGGCACCAAAAACCAACACCGATAACCGGCGCCGAATGCCGATAACCAACGCCGAAAAACAAAGGTTATGGTTTTTGAAAACTAATCATTTGGAAAACCTTTAAATTTGTCCAGAAGAATAAACCAAAGATAAAAACCCAAAAACCATTTGGTTAAAATCAATGCCAATAACCAATGCCGAAAACCGAACGCCATAGCCGAACGCCGATAACCGATGGTTATGGTTTTGGTTAAGCAAGAACCATGGGTTTTAGAAACTTAAAAACCATTTATGAAAAAACTAATTTGATGCATGAAAAACATATTTTGTTTTGAGCCATGACGTAGAGAAATTGAATGAGCTTGTTACAATAAAACCTAAGTCTTTAGAATACGTCTTTAAAGCGCCAATGTCGACATCTTTAGCAACGTCAATGCCTTTCTTGTGCTTTTTGTTTCTTCAAAGAACTTTTTCTATCTCTTTGAATCTTTTCATTTTGTTCCATGTTCTCGACGGTTTGTCAATATCAAAACCTAAACGGAAACAAACATTGTCATTAGCAAAATGTCAAAGTGAAAATGTTTTCCAACAAGGCCACCGAAGAACGGTTGTGCTTAATCCCAAAGCCCTCCAAGTATTCGGTGAACCTTGGATTTCGGAATTGTGGGCCGTTGTCGGTGATTAGGTTCATGGGAGCCCCAAATCTTGTGATGATGTTCTTCCAAATGAATTTTTTGCATTGTTGCGTGGTGATGTTGGCCAACGCTTCGGCCTCGATCCATTTGGTGAAGTAATCGATGGCCACGATTACAAAAATCTTCCTTCCTTGGGCGATCGGGAATGCTCCAATGATATCCACCCCGAACCTAGCGAACGGGATGACATTTGACACGGGGTGGTAGTAGGTTGCCGGCCTACTGGGGTACTTGTAGAACACTTGACATGTTCTACACTTCTGAACGTACCTCTCACAGTCTTGGACAATTGTTGGCCAGTAATACCCCAATAAGATAATGCGCTGGGAAAGGGTGCGGGACATTTGGTGTGCCGCGCACACCCCTTCATGGACTTCTGCAATGACTCGCTCAGCTTCCCGGTTGGTTAGGCACCTCAGGAGGGGTCCCCCGAACGCCCTCTTGTATAGCTTTCCGTCAAGGACTTGGAACCGGGGTGCCCTGAGCTTCACTTTTCTTGCCCGGTCATCTTGTTCCGGCAAGGTCCCATCCATCAAGTATTCCATCAGATCATACATCCAGTTGTCATCCGCACCGACCAAGTTTGACCGGTCAGACTGGCTCCCATCTGCTATAGCGGCCACTTCCAATTTCTCGATGCTAGCGCGATCAAGAATTTCTACCCGAGAAAGTTTTGAAACATGCTCGGGAGCATACTGCGTCAATTTGGAGAGGAGGTCTGCGTCCACATTCTCTGCCCGGGGAATTCGGGCGATCTTGAATTCCTCAAAGCCTTTCAATAAGGCAAGTACCAGGTCCTTGTATTGCGCCATTCGCCCTTCTCTGGCTTCCATGTTACCGGTCACTTGTCGAACGATCAAACTGGAATCAGATTTGATACTGACCCGGTCGATCTTCAGGGCTTGGGCAAGTCTGAGCCCTCCAGCTAGAGCTTCATATTCTGCTTCATTGTTCGTCAGCTTGAAATTGAAAACGATTGCATGGTAGATCTTGAAACCCTCTGGGGTGGTAAACACCACACCACCCCCGTACCCCTTAGGGCCAGATGCCCCATCTACTGCCATCTCCCACCATTGTTCGGCGGGTTTGTTGACCGGTAGGTCTGGAGTTAGACCGGTCATTTCTACCAAGAAATCTGCAAGGGC